TCCTGATTTACAGCGTCCGCAGTTCTTTCGGTTTTTATTGTGCAAGATGGATTGATTGAAACAGTGATGATGTCACATCTCTTAAGGGGTTAATATTTGAAGCACGAAAGTGTAGAATTATGAAAGAGCCCGACAGTGTGATTAATTTTGGATTGTTCCAGTACAAAGAACAGAATGGAGCAAAAGTCTTTCTTTTGTTTCCGATTTGTTCTCGTCTGTTCTCTTCAGCACCCCCAACGACCAGCACCACCTCCAGACTTCTGAGAGAAGCTATTCCTCCTCATCTCTATCCTAAATGGGCAGCTCCTTACTCTGCAGTTATACCATCTGATCTTAGGATCTCCATAAAAGAGAGCCACATCTACTGTACCAAGTCCTGTAAAAATCTTACACATTTCAGTAAAGTTGCCTTTTTTTAAACTACAATGCGTGCATGCCCAATCTATTCTACCTGCTCAAGGAAAATTCCTGCATGCCCAGGATTAACCATGTAAATAATTCTTCCCTTAAAGGAAGCAAAACTGCTGTCGGTATTCCAGCTGTGGTCTAACAGCTTGTGTAGTTTTAGCAATGTTTCCTATTCTTATACTGCACCCACTTTGAAATAAAGGCTAACATTCCATTTGCCTTCCTTGTTACCAACAAAACTTAAATGCCAGTTATTTTGTGATTCATGCACGGAGATCCACAAATCCCTCTGTGCTGCAGTTTTCTGTAATCTCTCTCCATTTAAATAATATTCAGCTCTTCTCTTCCTGCCATAGTACTTAACTTCACATTTTTTCACATTCCATCTGACAACTTTTCTTTTCCCCCACTGACTTTACTTTTTGGCACCCATCTGTAGATTTCGTTTGTCGTCCTCCCTACTTGCCTTCCCACCTGTTTTTGTGTTATCCACAACTTGACTCTTGTGCATTCACTTTGTTCTCACAATTCATTAATATATGTTGTAAACTATTGTGGCCCCAGCATTGATCCTTTTGGCACTTGTAGGCTGCCAGTCTGAAAATGCCTCTTTTCTCCCACCCCCATCCCAACTCTGACTAACCAATGGAAGACAGTCCCATATCCATGCTAATACACTATCTCGAACACTATGGGCTCTTAACCTGATGAATTAGCCTTACATGTGTAGTACTTTATCAAATGCTTTTTGGAAATCCGTATATATTATACCTACTGGTTCTCCTTTAGCCTGCTTTTTACCCCTTATTAGAATTACAATAAATGTCTCCGGCATGATTTTTCCCTTCATTTAGCCATTCTGATTATGCTTGACTGTATTGTGCATTATTAAATAGATTCTAACATTTTCCCCAATAACCAGATGTTAAACTAGCTGGCCTATAGTTAAGATAACAAGGTGTAGAGCTGAATGAACACAGCAGGCCAAGCAGCATCAGAGGAGCAGGAAAGCTGACGTTTCAAGTCTGGATCCTTCTTCAGAAAGGCCTATAGTTACCTTCTTTGTCTCCCATTTTAAATAAAGGTGTTATATTGACAGTTTTCCATTGTGCTGGGATGTTTGCAGAATCTAAAGATTCTTGGAAGATTACCAACTGTGTATCCACTATCACTGGAGCTACTTACTTGAAAATTCTAGGATGCATCCATCAAATCCAAGGGACTTATCCATATGTAGACCTTTAGCTTCCCTAGCACCTTTTCTCTAGTGGTATGTTATTGTATTTCCTCCTCTCTGCCCCTTAATTATTTGGTATCTTTGGAAAGCTGTTAATGTCCTCTACCATGAAGAGTAATGCAAAGTATTTATTCAGCTTTTCTGCCATTTTCTGGTTCTCAATGATTATTTCCCCAGCTTTGATCTTTAAGGGGCCTAAGTGCACTTTGACCTTCCTCTTTATATATAGAAAACAGCTCTTACTGTTTGTTTTAATACTACTTGCTCGATAACCTTAGTTTATTTTCTCTTTTTGATCATTTTTAAAATTGTTTTTAAACTTTCCCAATCCTCTACTTTTTGCCACATTGTTTTTTTTTCTCTTCTTTCCTTGGTTAACTGTGGTTGATTGATCCTCTTCCTAGAATCCTACTTCCTCACTGGGGCATAAACCTCTGTCTCTCTTGTTCAAGAAACTCTGCAGCCTTGAACTATCTTTCAGTCATTGACCACATTAAATCGCTTTTTTTTAAAAGAACTTGATTTATTAGATCGGATTTCATTCTGGAATCGGTGACTTGCCCAGTAGTACCATCAGCTGGGGTCACCTGTGCTCTACGTTGCTCCCCTCCCCGCAGCCCCTCCTGCATTCTCTGCCTTGTCCATAAACACTCAATCTCCATCACTGCTACAAAGATCAGTCCTGCCTTTTGAAGTTTCAACTCCCAAAGATGGTCACAGATATTTTTTGACTATTTACATCTCACTTGCACAATTTTGTATACTCATTTTGTCGCACATCAATACCTTTCTTCCATTCATCTTCATGCTTTTAAAATCCACCTTCAGAGTCATCTAATTGCTGTATCCTCTTTGACTACTTTTAAATTTTCAGTTTTGTTGGTGTCTCATTACATTATTTACTTTCATGCCTAAGCAGTTAACAACACATACATTGTCTGCACCACTTAAAACTTAACTGAATGGAAAGAAAAAATCAAGTCTAGCCTTAAGCCATTAAACATCAAGCAATATCACTGTTACCATTGAGAAATTAACACTAGTGATACTTCTGACACTAAAGCAAAAGCTGTAAATGTTAGCTGAAATGCAACTGAGGAAAGTGGGGAATGTACAGTAAGGTTCATTAGCAATTCAAGTGGTTGTGAATAAGCAGGTTAACATATGAGGTGGGAGTTGAAACTGAAATGGTCTGCCTTTTTAAGCATTTCCTATTGGCTGTGTACCTGTGTCTTACCCTTTTTTTTCAGGAAAAGGCTGTTTACAACATCCAGTGGATCAAAATCTTTGTGATTTATCTTGGGGGATCAGAGCAGTGTAAATCTAACATTTGCATGATTGCTAGGTAATAGTGGTCTTCTCATTGTGGCTTTGTAACTTGACATTGTCTTGAAGTGAAACCAATAGCCTTTATGTGGATAGTTTACCTTGGGCAATCAGCAAACCACTAACTGAAACTGTCATTGAGTATCAAAGGAATCCCATCTCTTGTGGTTCCTTTGTTTATACTTCCCACCATTGACTTATTGAACTTGTAACCAGTCTGCTCACTAAATCATTTGCTGCTCTGAGAGGGGAATGAAAAGCCTATTTGATTGTTGCACCGCGTGCTGTTTGCATGCAGCCCTCTTGTCCAATGATGTCGAAGTAGAATTAACTGAAGCAATTCAGTGTGCAGCAGCAAAGAGAAGTCAGTATGATGGAGCAAAAGAACGTTTGGTGAGATCAGAACTCCTTTTCCGCAGAATGTTATGGAATGGAGTATAGTGCTAAAAGGATTTGTCGAAGCTGATTCGAAATAGTATTTAGAAGGGAATTGAAAATCATCTCCTTCAAATGTTTATCGAGGTGTGAGGAATGGCATTGACTAGCTAGTTATTTTGTAACAGCTGCCAGTACATAGTGGGCTAACTGGGCTCCTTGTCTGCTGTACTTTTCTATGAAAGATGAGTGAGAGAGAGCTTCTTGTGTGAGGCTTGGTGAAGACCTGCGGAGTTCTACTGAAGGAGTCCAAAAAAAGAGTTATCATTGCCACCATCCAAGTCCCATAGACAGCATTAAGATAGTTTCAGGTATACGCCATTGATGAAGTTCAATGAGGGCTAACCATTGCCTGAACACTAGAGAGAACTTCCCTCTTCTTTGAATAGCACTAATTATATCTTCCTGAAAGTTGCATCTCAATTTCCTCACATCTATCTCTCCTACGCCTGTTGCCAACCTGCCCCTTCAGAAAAGTTGATGGCTGCATTTGTAAATTACCTTTTAAAATCAAATGTATCTCCTTCTTATAGAGAGTTCAATGCTGGAGATCTTAAACCTTGTACTTCTCAAACCTTTTCCGCACTGTGACCCCTATTTTTTAATGCTTTTAAAATTGTTCACCCAGTTGAGGGTGGAAGACTTGTTCAAGGGGTGGTGGGAGAGAGAGAGAGAGTCAGTTTGTACTGTGTTGAAACCCTGAACTTTGCACAATTTGATCTTCCAACAACTTTGACTAATTAGTGACCAATAAATCCAAAAACAAAATTCACTAGAAACTTCTTTACTGAAAGATTGTGATATCTTTTTAGGAGAAACTGGCTAATATCTAACAGAGAAATACAGAATAGATATATCTGCAGGATTACTGGAGGAAGTTTGTGATGATCATAAGTAGTAATAGCCAGGTTCAGAGGTAAACTCCAAATTGAACGTTGGAGGAGGCTCAATTGACATGTTGATCTCATCTCCTTCCTTTTCTCACAGAGGACATATTTGTATGCTGGAAATCATCAGAGCTCTGAAGAGCCATCTAGATTTGAAATGTTAGCTTGCTCTGTCTCCACAGATGCTGTTTGATCCGTTGTGATCTCCAGCATTTCTTGTTTTCAGCACAGATTCCAGTATCTGCAGTAGTTTGCTCCCACACTTGTATCCTGTTCCCTTCCCGAGCCTGTGGCCGCTAAGACATGTACGTTGGTGCTCCGTAACTGGTTTGGTAATATGGAATACTAACCAGAAATCAAATCCTCAACCTCTGCTCTTAAAGCCTCAATGAGAAGAGTGCTTTTCTTTATGTTTTGTTCCTTTTTAATAACATCAATTTCTTTTGACCATCATTGCTGTTCCTCCTGCCAAATCAATTCTTGGTGTGTTATTCAGGGCAGCTAGTTATAAAACGCAAGCCAAACACTTCATCAGAAGAGACAAAGTTAGGAGGACTAGGGATCATACTGCATCAGTAATTTTAACTCCTGGAAGCCAGAGCTGTAAAGGATATTGGGAAAAATGAAAGCATTTCATCTTCTATCTACATGCATTGATTTTGATAATCTTCCAAATGCATTTAACTTCTATTTTGTTTCAAATGTAGGTACGAAGAAAAGACTGCCCTCTGTGACAAAGAGTCTTTGGATGAAGCCACCGACGATTTGAAAGAAAGCAAGAAGGAGCAGTAACTGGAGAGGCCATGGATCGATCAATTTCTTCAAAAAAAAAGTCCTCACTCCAAACTGCCTGCTTTGTGTTCATTTCGTGCAGATGCCATATTGTACTGACATGGTCATGTGTCTTGCGTCCCTGGCAAATTATGGGGAAACAAAAGTATTTTATTACATCATGCTAGAGTGCTAGTTATTCAGTTCTTCTTGAGTGTTTTCTATGAATGTGCCAACTGATTTGTTTTTAAGAGAAAAAAATAACCTGAGGGGTTGCACCAGTGCCTATCTGTATTTTTTAATTTATTTTGAATAAATTAAATTGATCATGACTTTTTGAATTCAAAGGTGCCAGTATTTTGTTTTGTTTTACAAACAAATGCAGAAAACTGAAGTTTTTAAACAGCTGTACACTAGTCCATGTTGTAAAATGTGTATTTTAATGAAAAAAAAATACCTCAGCTGTTGTTTTTTTACATGACTGCTTTGGCTCATAAACTGTGTGTTTTTAAAAATGAATTTGGGGTTTATATACACCACCTTTTTCAACACGGTGACTAATGGCAAATTTATAGCGCATTATCTTGTGCACATAGAACACCCATTTGGGCTGTTTAATCAGAAAATAATGGGATTATGTGCTTATACATACTATAGTTTTATAGATGAGCTATTTGCTGGAACTTTTTTTTTGTTTAAACTAATGGACAATCTTAATTTTTTTTCTGCATTTGTTTCGCAAACAAAAGATGATCTGAGCTCCGTTTTTACAGTGGCAGCAGATGAGATGCACAGATTGTAAACAGCAATTTAAAAGAAAAATCCTTTGTAGCTTTGATTCTAACAAACAGCATAAATATGAACTATGAATATATATGTACTAGCTAATGATGTGATATCTGTCTGATTGTGACTCCTACAGCATAAGCTTTCACCATGGGGTTAAAACAAACATGTATGTTTGCTGAATGTGTGTGTTAATATCATGTCTGTAGAAGTGTTTGTGGCTTATAGAAAGCCAGAGTCTGATGCAGTACATGTGGCAGTTGTATCTTGTTTTGCTCTTTGAGTTCTGTTTGTCTCAGCCACAGGAAGACACTGACTGGTCCCTCCTGTACCTGTACCAAGTGAATTAACTATGTATGCCTGAATGGTGCATGCTGTGAATGGTGGAAGAGGGGTGGGGAGGGTTGGTATCAGAGTCAGCCTGAGCCCCACTCTCTCTTGATAGCCATCTCTGTGCAGGTTCTAGCTCAGGCACTCGTGCAGTGATCAGCATCAAGATGCTTTTGTCTATTGGAACTGGAGTAAAAGCATATCCTGGAATATAAGTTGTTTTCAACCTGCAAAACTCTTCTGATCTGTGCGTCTCAACATATCACAGGTGTGTCCTTTAATGCAGTGAGCTGTCAGAGAAATTCATAATCTTTTCTGGATAGCCAGCATAAAGTCTCCACTGCTGCCACCATGTGTATCAAGCTAATGTAGAAAAAAATCCTGTTTTTTCCTCCATTTAGCAAAACAATTATGAACTTTTTTTTCCATCCCTGGTTTAGGCCCAGCATTTCTTTTAAGGTTTTCCACATTTACCCATGTCGGTTTATATCCCTCTTGGCCTGCAGAGGGAGCACGTGCCAGGAGCTCTGATGTTAACATCTGGCTGCATGCTTCCCTGCCCAGTGAGACTTTGATTAATTAAGGTGTCACAGGGATTTTGTTTGCCCTTTCTGTGTGCTGATCCATTGAATTTTCTTTGTATTGCACCCCCTGTGTACATTGTGCTTGGAGGGCAGCACGGTGGCTCAGTGGTTAGCACTGCTGCCTCACAGCGCCAGGGACCCGGGTTCAATCCCATTCTCGGGCTACCTGTTTGTGGAGTTTGCACATTCTCCCCGTGTCTGCATGGGTGCTCTGGTTTCTGCCCACAGTCCAGAGATATGCAGGTTAGGTAAATTGGCCATGGTAAATTGTTCATAGTGTCCAGGGGTGTGTAAGTTAGGTGGATTAGATATGGGAAATACAGGGTTACAAGGAAAGCATAGGGGGATGGATCTGAATGGGATGCTCTTCAGTGGGGCAGTGTGAACTTGTTGGGTCAAATGGCCTGTTTGCACACTGTGGATTCTGTGATTGAGCGTTAGATCTTGGAATGGACCCCAGATACAGTAGGAACCTTCAACGTTTAGGGCATGAAGATATACTGTGAAGTGACACAGAAAAATAGGCTTTGCTAAATGGATGCAGTAAGATGAGCTGAAAAACCTTCCTTATCAGTACTTGATAGGTCTTTCCCCCTGTAAATCAGCACTGGCACGTTTTTATAATTTAAACAGGCCATTGTTGTATCATAAGTGCAGCATCACTAGCTTAAGAGTTTGTTCTGTAACTAGAGAATATTGTCAGGCATCACTATCTTTTGCATTTGTGATAAATGCACCATGTTAGCGTTCATACCACAGAATTTCAAAACCCATTCCTGATTCCTTCTTGCTTTCCCACTTTAACATAGTTGGGTTTGGGGAATGCAGGAGGAGTGGGAGCCTTGTGGGTGGTAAGGAAATACCGTAGTACGAAGATGGGTCAGGCAAGACCGAGTAGATCCGTGGATGGTGCCCTATTTTTAAATATTTTCTCAAAATAACTACTAAACTTTGAATTTTCATATCTGGTCTTTTATCCCTGTCGGCAGAAGTGGTTAATGGTGTGTCTGAAAATCACTTGTGGAAAATTATAATAGATCATTCCAGATGGTGTTATCAGCCCCTGCTGGATTTTCTTTAGTAATGACCAAGCTCCTTAAAGTTAAGATCATGGTCTGTTTTAATATCAACTATTTACAGGCAACTATATTTTCTTTTAAATGTTAATCTATTTGTTCTGAACATGTGACTGCCAATGAAGCAGTACCCTCTCTGAATAGCCATGTCTCTACATGCTCAGTATTCATGTGCATAATTGACTGACTTTAAACTTTGAAAAGTCCCCTCAGTGTTAAATTAGATACTGGGCAATAATCTAGCCTCACCCACTGGATAGCCACCTTAAGAAGCCATTGAATTTTCTTTATATTGCACCCCCTGTGTACTTTGTGCTTGGAGGGCAGCACGGTGGCTCAGTGGTTAGCACTGCTGCCTCACAGCGCCAGGGACCCGGACCCGAAGGAAGTGTGGGAAACATCACTCTTAATGCAGTGCTGGTGCTTGTGTGAAATTATGAAAGAGGCCTGGAAGGAAATCTCACTCAGTATCTTACTGTGCTGTGTCTGATCAGAATCTGTTTTGTTCTAATGTTAAACACTCTGTATTCCCTGCCATTGTGCTAACATCTTTCCTTGATGAGCACAATATCTGTAGCTTTAAAGTAAAATATATGTCAGCTGGATTCCTCCCAGTACTGTAGCAAAATAGCCTGGACAGTTGATGGAGATCTTTTATAGGTGTGGAAAAGGTGTATTGGGGAGGTTTTTTTTGATTTGTATATTTAGTTGAAAGTTGATTTTTAAAAAAGCAAATTAATGATTGCATTTGAAGCTCCTTGAGCTGCTTGATGTCTGTAGGATACTCTTCAACTTTGTGAAAAATGGACTTCCTCAACCCTACCTTCCACTCTTTATCCCAATCAGAGGGTTAGTTATTGCCATGTGTTTTAGACTCAGCTGTCTCTCTATGGATTGGAAGTTAGGTATGATTAAAATTTTAAAAACACGGTTCTGTTTCTACAAGCGGATTTGTATTTTTAAATGTTTCTGAACTTTGTTCACCTTCTGGAATCTGTCCTTTCTTTCCCTCCCTGGCTTTTTCATTATTGTAGTGAGGCCTGCTTCTCTTGTGAGAAGCTGTGATCCATTTGCAATAAATTTGTGGCGTGCACCGCCATCAATATACTTCGAACTTCACTACCGTCTCTTTTACTCCTTAAGTACAATCTGAGTTCATGTGAGAAAGCTCTCTCAAAAGAAAGTACCTGTAATTTTAAGACAACAAGGTGCAGGGCTGGATGAACACAGCAGGCCAAGCAGCATCATAGGAGCAGAGAGGCTGACGTTTCGGGCCTAGACCCTTCATCAGAAAAGGGGGAGGGGAAGGGGGTTTTGAAATAAATAGGGAGAGAGTGGGAGGCGGATAGAAGAGGGATAGAGGAGAGGATAGGTGGAGAGGAAACAAACAGGTCAAGGGGGCGGGATGAGGTTGGTCGGTAGGAGATGGAGGTGCGGCTTGAGGTGGGAGGAGGGGATAGGTGGGAGGAAGAACAGGTTAGGGAGGCAGGGACGAGTTGGACTGGTTTTGGGATGCGGTGGGGGGAGGGGAGATTTTGAAACTTGTGAAATCCACATTGATACCATTGGGCTGCAGGGTTCCCAAGCGGAATATGAGTTGCTGTTCCTGCAACCTTCGGGTGGCATCGTTGTGGCACTGCAGGAGGCCCAGGATGGACATGTCGTCTGAGGAATGGGAGGGGGAGTTGAAATGGTTCGCGACTGGGAGGTGCAGTTGTTTGTTGCGAACCGAGCGTAAGTGTTCTGCAAAGCGGTCCCCGAGTCTCCGCTTGGTTTCCCCGATGTAGAGGAAGCCACACCGGGTACAGCGGATGCAGTATACCACATTGGCAGATGTGCAGGTGAACATCTGCTTGATGTGGAAAGTCTTCTTGGGGCCTGGGATGGGGGCGAGGGAGGAGGTATGGGGGCAGGTGTAGCACTTCCTGCGGTTGCAGGGAAAAGTGCCGGGTGTGGTGGAGCTGGAGGGGAGTGTGGAGCGGAC